CCGTAAAATAATATGTGACGTATAAAAATTATTATCCGTGACTGAAAAATAATATGTGACTAACTAAATTGTAAATCTATGACCAAAATGTAACCTAAAAATATAATAATACGTGACTCTTTAAAAATCTGTGACCTCGCCAGAATGGTCGCCGAAATCGGAGCAGTCGCTGAAATTGGAGCCGGAGAAGAGTGGTGGTCGGAATGGTCGTCGGAATCGTCACCGGAGCAGGGGGTGGTGCATGTGGGGTGGGTTTATTATATTATATTATTTTATAATTTAAAAAAAAAAAAAAAAACCTGATTTTTGAATTTTCAAACTATAAATATGATTTTTAAATTGGTGTAAACTAAACACCTTATTTATGAATATTTTCCTCTTTTTTTTTTTTTTTTTGAAGTACTAATTCAGTAATTTGCAACAATTTCTAGACTTGGGTCCGCGAATCGCGAATCGCGAGTCGCTGCTCTCCAATATACGTTAAAACACTAGAGAAGAGTTTAAAAAACTCTCAAGACGATAAGGTCTTCCTCAATTCTCAAATTCCATAGACCGCCACAACAGGGCTTCTCTAAAACCCCCTATTTTCTCAGTTAAGATCCTTCAATCTCTCTACAGTCGCATTGTGCTAATTATAGATACATTGTAAGTTCTTTTCTTTTCTTTAAATTTTTGTTTATTTAGTTTTAACAGAATTCCAATTTTTTTTTTTTTCAGGGGTTTTAGGTTTATTTTGAGAAGGGGTTCTTCTCGTACTGTTAGCTCCCAGTTGTTTGTTCTTCAGTAAGTTTTTATCTTGTGTTATAAAGGGTTGTTTTACTTATGTAATTTTGAAGTAAAGTTAGTATCTTTATCTTTGAGTATGAGGTTTTGGTTTTATTTCTTGCCGGAATTTCCTTTTTCTTTTGATAAATAATGTTTTCTAAGTTGTTTCAACTGGCACAGATAAATGGCCATACAACTAGTCAAAGAATGGACTGCAATTCAGCAGTTTCCTGCAGCCACCCAGGGCAGATTGCTTGAACTGTTGGGGAAATTAAAGCAGGAGGTTCTGGTTCTCCCTCTTAGATTTAGCATAGTTTCACTAGGTTATGCAATCTTTTTTTCACTAAAAAATTGGTCTTGACTGGAAATAATTTCAGAAATTAGAAGCTCTATAATTTTCTGTGTGCAATTAGAAAAGAAACATATGTTTTACAATTACATCATGTTTCTAAAGTTGCTTTTTCTTCAATGAAATACGTGTGAGGTCTTGTTGATTGTGTATTGTATTGTATATAATGGGAATATGGGACTATAATGCTGTTTATAAATCATTGTAGAATGTCAGCACACTGACAGTCCTTGTTATGGGGAAGGGTGGTGTTGGAAAATCTTCCACTGTGAACTCAATTATAGGGGATCGAGTGGTTACTATTAGTTCTTTCCAGGTACGTATTGCCCGACCATGGTTTCGAGAACAGAGAGTTTTTTTGTATATTTGGTGATGGCGATGCATGTGATATTTCAGTCAGAAACACCAAGACCAGTGATGGTTTCACGTTCCCGGGCAGGATTTACATTGAACATTATTGACACTCCAGGGCTCGTTGAAGGAGCTTATGTCAGTGACCAGGTGCTTGAGACCATAAAAAGGTTTTGAGTCAATCACTAGCCTATGGCGTTATAATGTCCCGTCAAATTGTTTTAGTTTCACATTTCATCTCATCCATTATTCTTGTGTTTTTCTGAATCCAACTTGTTGCTGTCTGAGCAGGTTCCTTTTGAACAAGACGATAGATGTTCTACTCTATGTGGACCGTTTGGATCTGTATAGAGTAGATAATTTGGATAAGCAGGTTGTGAAAGCCATAACTGATAGTTTCGGTAAAGAAATATGGCGTAAAGGTATCGTAGTCCTTACACATGCTCAGTTCTCACCTCCAGATGGATTGAATTATGATGAGTTCTTCTCCAAAAGATCAGAGTCTCTTATGAAAATTGTCAGACAGGGATCACGGATAAGCAAAAAGGAAATTCAGGTTTGATTCATCCCTTCACCCTTACTCTTCTTCTTCTCTTTGAAGGCAAATTAACCTTTCTATGGTTAAGGAGGGAGTAATTTTTACTAGTTCAGAATTTGCTCCAAAAGAATGAAATAGTTTGAGGTTTAAGATCGGTTGAATATATATTCCTTTTTTTTATAGGTAATCACGTGATCTTATAAATCAAAATGAAAAGATAATACACAAGGAGTGCATTTTCAGTTTAAACAAGATAGAAACGATAAAAAATTCGGCAACCCTTCTATCGGACCAATGGTTGCAGCCTTAAACCAGTTATACGAAGTCAAGTAAAACAATTATCTAAATTGTTCCGTCGTCCGTATTTAATCTTCAAAGTATCGGCCATTTCTTTCTCTACACACACCAAACGATGCATTCTGGAATGAGATTACAAACAAGCTTGCTATTCTTATCTCGAAACTTTCGTTTCCATGCCCACACCACCTTTTTTATACGCCTTGGCAACACCTAACTCATATGTTTCTTCCAGGCCCACACCACCTCCTTGATACACGGTGGCAACACCTAACTCATATGTTGCGAAGCCATAATATCATCACACATCCAACGAACACCGTTACAATGAATGAACAAATGATTGATCGTCTCTCCATCCCTCTTATATATATAGCACCACTCCGTAATACAACATGCCTTTTTTCGAAGATTATCTTCCGTTAACACCTGTCCCCTCACAATCATCCACAGCAAGAAAGCCACCTTTGGAGGTAATTTACTTTGTCAAACCCTTTTCCAGGGGAATGAACTCTCAACAGGTTCTAATAAGGATCTGAAATAAGTACGAACGGAGAACAAACCATTCAGTGCCGCCCTCCACCTGCTACAGTCGTCCTCTCCTACCTGAATGTGTACATCATATAGAGAGGTCAAAAACAATGCATAATCATCCAACTCCCAATCATATAAGTTCCTCCCGAAAGCGATGTTCCAGCTAGAATTTCCATTAGATATAGCCATAGCATCACTCACCATAGCTGAGGGCTCCAAGACAATGCGATATAAAGAAGGAAACCACACTCTTATAATGATTGATTTCCACACTAACAATCGTCCCGAAATCTGACATTCGTACCGTTCCCCACCAATATATATTCCTGAATTTCAGAAAATTTCTTGCGGAAACGTGGGCAGTAAAATAAATATTTTCCTTTCAACAAATATATCCCTCAGTTTTTTAATTCTATATAAATATTTAAGAACAGTTTGTGGATAAGAATTTAAACATATCGAAACATCTGAACTTTGAAGCTTGATGTTAAGAAAAAGGAACTGGTATCAACTTGGGAAGGAAGTTGTTCTATCTGAGACTTAGGAAACAAGTTTTGTTCAAGACCTTGTACTGAATAATTTTAAATATTCACGCACTTCTCAGATTTCTTTTGGAAAAGAACAGGAGACCCTCTTCTGCTGAATGGGCTTGTTTGTTAAACATGTTGATTAAAAATTTTTCGAATCCTGTATTAACAGATCATACTATGTCAAATTTTCTATATTCGAGTAAAAAATGATAGTCTCCCATCGAAGGACAGACAATAAACCTAGGGTCAATTGGATAGCTAAGTTACTCTCAGTTTTCGGTTTTTATTTTCGAAGTTCTAAAACATTAATGAGAACAAGCTTGCTTGGCTATGTTCAAAAGTCTTTCTGCGCTGTTACCGAAAGAGACTTAAATACACTGAAGTACTGATCATTAACTAGGTCCAGCTTTCAGTTCCCAAGAACCACAAAAAAAGTTTCACATAAATCTCAAATCATCCCTTCTCTTTCTCTCCCACCTTACGAATCACCAACATGAATACATATCTGAACTCTCATTGCCAACTCACTTTCCATCGCAAACACCATCCCCTTATAGCTATGTAACCTTAAGTCTCAAGAATTTTGGACCAGAGCTGTAATCCCACTCTTTTCTGGATCCATCATTACCACATCAGCAGAATCCTGCTACCGCTGTCTGACAGTTCTCACAAGTAGCACCAGGGGAACTCAGGAAAACCCATAAAATCACCAACTATTCTAGGTATAAGCTTAGGCAAAGGAAAATAGATAATTTCTTTATACAGAAGTGTATATCTGATGCTACAATACTGATTCTTGCTCAAACACGATTAGTGATGCTGTCCTTGGTAAAATTCTTACCAAAAACACTAAAATAAATTTCAGTATGACGTTGGAACTCAAACAAGCTGGTGACCGAAAGGGTTTCTATCTTGACTATTTTTTAAGTGATTATGATTTATACAAATTCTGATAATAGCTTAAAGTGTTGCTTTCGCCTTATGCTGGTGGGAATTTTAAAGTCAATTTTGATTTGAAGGAGTGCTGTTTGTATTCTCTTCTCCTGCACTCTCTGTGCATCTTTCTCTCTCTTGCTGCCCCTCTGTTTTTATTCTTGTTATGTTCTTTTTTTTCTCCACGGTGACTATTACACTATATTTGAAGGTAGAACCATGACAAATAATTAAAGCATGTTCTCAAGCATTTCATCTCATGATAAAAGTAGTTGGGCTTCCTGAGTATCACAAACACTTGAGACTATTCTACCAGACTGTTGAGATTTTATCATATTCGTATTCTTTTTCACGTTCTTTATCGAAGAATGATCTTGGTAAATTTTTCCCTTGATTCTAACTAAATATATTTTGCTATTGCTTCTCCTAGGATTCTCCAATCCCTGTTGTTTTAGTTGAGAACAGTGGGAGATGTGTCAAGAACGAACAGGATGAGAAGGTTGGTTTCTGTTGTAATATTTTGTTATTGGTTCTTATTTATTTTTTGATTTCTTTCACATTTATGCTTAAGTTTGTGAGTTGATTTGTTTGGATTGCAGATCCTTCCGACCGGAACTCCTTGGATCCCCAACTTGGTCCAAATTATCACTGATGTTGCCTTGAATCAAAGCAAGGGTATTCTTGTTGACAGGAAGTTGATTGAAGGGCCAAACCCAAATGATAGGGGGAAATTATTTATCCCTCTCATCTTAGCATTCGAAGTAAGCTTTCGATTTTAACTTGTTTCCTCTTATGCTTGGTGCAGGAATAATCAGAACTTCGCTTGATTATTTCTTTTACTTCTTACCAGTATTTCTTCGTTTTCAAACGGATTCAAAAGTGGATCAAGGACGATATTTCAAGGGAAACGAAGCCTTCATGGGAATGAATTGTTGTCAACCTCAGCTTAACTTTTCTGCAATTCGTGCTTTATTCCACCGAGCCATCTGTTGTCAATCTTGCTGCATCTCATTATCAGTATCTTTTATGCATTGTGTAGTGACAGTCAGTGACTCCATTGAAGATTATGAATTTTTTTTGGGGATTCGAATTTTGTTGGTTATGATTTGTAATATTGTTTTACAGTTACCTTCATTAGGTGTCCCCGACTGAGCTTAAATACCAGCCTAGTGTACATGCGCCGGGCTAGTCTCCTATTCGAATAGGTTTTGGGTAAGCAGAATTTAGGCGAGTTGTTGGAATCTGCTTAGCATTCCTTACCTTGTGACCTCTATTTTCTTCCAGTAATCAAACTTTTTAGTAATCTTAAGGGGTTGCTCAATTGGTCAGGTATTGGGTTAGCTCCCCAATGGTTACCAGTTCGAGTCCCTCAGAACCACTGAGATGAGTACTCGACTGTAACTTCATGCCCCGTAGGATTAGTCGATGTGCACGCAAGCTGGTCCGAATACCCAAGGTTATCAAAAAAAAAAAGAGTAATCAAACTTTTTAGCAGTTGACACTCAGTAATAAGACTTGAACATGGATGTGCGTATCTATAGAACCTTCTAATGCATCTCGTAGTAACGGTTAATTACTTAATTGATTTACAGCGGTAGAATTTAAATTTAATGTTTCGAGGAATATAATTTTTACAATGGAATAACTCTGAAAGTCTGAATGTTGTTAGTTATTGTGACTTTTCCATGGGTATTTAATCCAAAAAAGAAAATAAAAATAATAATAAAACCAAAAAAAAATCCTCATGGGCCTTGGGTATTTGTTGTTAGCCCATATTTCTTACTCGCAGTCCAATTTCAATCTCTCCCTACCTTCCACTTTCCCCAAAACTCCAATCTTTCATTGCATTGCACGCGAATACTCACCCTCCAAATTCAGAAAATCACTAGGAAAAATGTTGAGACAGGCCCCAAGATTCCTCCTGAGCAGAGCCGCTATGAGGTGGCGACGCCCGTTCTCCACCGATCTCGCGGAGGCACCCGCAGACTCGAAATTCGTTGACACCTGGAAGAAAGCGATCCCGAACATTGACCCACCGAAGACTCCATCGGCATTCATGACCCCTCGCCCACCAACCCCTTCGACCATTCCATCTAAGCTCACTGTCAATCTCGTTCTCCCTTACGATTCCCTGTTATCCACGAAAGAGGTATATTTTAGATTTATATGAATAAATAGTATCTCTTTGCTTATTTATATTATTTTTGGGTTTCTTTTTTTTTTTTTCAGTGGACAAAATATTTGGTATCATCGAATTTTAGTGGAATAGGAGGACCATGGCGTTGTTACAATTGCTTCATGTTTGAGGTTTTGAGAATAATCTGAAGTTTTATGGCCAAGTAGAAGTTTCAATTTTATCTTGATAACAGATAAAATTACCTCAAATAATATAGATCGGAAGTGTAGATATGTTCGTGGTTGAATTTACACCTAAAATAAAGGCAATTACTATAGCTTTGTTACATTGAAATGGGCTAATTTGTTACTCTGTGGCATTGATATCTATATTCTAAATTGTTCGAGAACAAATGGGCTGCAATACATACTGTGTTTTGGCCACATTTTTTTCAAAAAAACTCGTTTTTTTAACACTCTTTTTCAACTACATATTCTCTTATAAAATAATATTATACATAAATCGAAAACTTTTTCTTATATTTTAGCTACACATTTTCTTAAAGATCGCTATTTCAAAACTCATTTTTCCCCAAATTTTCATTGAAATGGAGCCCAAACGATGGCATAATGATTTGTTTGGAGATAGATTCACCTTTGCACTGTTAACTTAGAGCAGTTACTTGAGTTTTCTAGGGCTGTTCGGGTAATTGTTTTAAGCTTTTATATGGCCTGTCATGGACTTGGCTCCTCCAGGCACACGTGTACACTTAACCCCTTCCAAAACTAACATTTTTGGTGTGTGTGGGGGTGGGGATCAAGTTCCTTGCCAACTATGGATCCAATCTCTTTTCATTTGTCTGTCACTACCTAAGTAAGCAGATGTGTTAGGCTAATGGAAATATGAGAATTTGAATGGTTAGGACATGAACAAGTAATATACATTTTAGCTGCTGCAATTCTAATTTGAATGTTTGAATGGCAGTGAACAATGACAAACTTCTAAACGTATTAACACTATTCTTGAAGTGTTTTTGAACTTATAATTTTATATAACATGCGTAGTAGGTACATATTTTAAACAAATTCTACTTTATTATCTTTGTTTTCCATTTGTACAATCATGGGGTGACTTTATTTACTTTCAACTTATGTATTAGTAAATGGTATGAAGGTATCCTCCTCCAACCCTGGGGATCATCGTCGAAGACTATTGGCTTCAGTTTGTTACCTGACTGGAAAACAATGTATGAAGTTGGGTGTCTTGTTTCTCTAACAACATGAGAAAGTCCATCTACTCATGAAGTAGAAAGTGTGGAATTAATTATTTATAGTGTTGGTCTATTAAAATAAAATATCCATAAAATAATCTTACAAAATGATGGGCTAAGATGGATGTGTAGTACAAATAAGATGAAAAATGAGAAATAGACCATCAAAAGGGGAGGTGGTGCAGGATGAGGATAAATTAATTGAATGACGACTTAGACCTAAGTACGCTCCCATTTATAAGAGTGGCACAATCTCAGTAGGACAAATTAAAGGAGGGAGGGGTAATCTAAAGTCACCATAGTCCTTTTTAGTTATTAACAGAGTGGAGAAACCTTTTTACATGGCCCACCTTAATTTATGTGGAAAACTCTTAGTTCTTCGTTGTTTGTCATATTATAGTGGTCTCTCTCTCTCTCAACTTTGTGTGTGTCTTTTCAGGTTGACATGGTCATAGTCCCAGCTACTACTGGGCAGATGGGTGTTTTGCCTGGCCATGTGCCCACAATTGCTGAGCTTAAGCCCGGTGTGCTATCAGTTCATGAAGGTAACGAGGTAAAAAAATATTTTCTCAGCAGTGGGTTTGCTTTTATCCATGCAAATTCTGTTGCGGATATAATGGCTGTTGAGGCCACACCACTTGACCAAATTGATTCAAGCCTGGTTCAGAAAGGTCTCGCGGAGTTCACACAGAAACTAAACTCAGCATCAACCGACGTGGAGAAGGCCGAAGCACAAATTGGGGTTGATGTACACAGTGCCCTCAATGCTGCTCTCACCGGCTAAGACTAGAAGAGAAGCAAGTCTTCAACCCTTTTAAATTTTCTGTCCTTTGTCGTCTGCCTGATTTATCTCTTGTTTCCATGTTTAAATGCTGATTTCCATCTCATTTTAAACAAATATCTCGGAGTCCTGATGTAAGAGAATTTCTTGAAATAATTATGAAAACGAGGTGGACAGTAATTAATGTTTTTCTTGAAGATGTGATAGATGCCAGATATGACTGAATTTCAGAATGATGATAGATTGTGTTTTTTGCCGGTATTTTCCTTGAACGTGTTTTTATTATTCATGGGACGTGTTGGATGTTCAGTACTAAAGAGCAATATACCACGTTTTATTTTCTTATTTCTTCTCTAATCTTGTGTGGTTGGTGGTACCAAATAAAAATGTGTCCTCATCATATATCGTTCGAGGTTATCTTACAATTGTCACGTGCAAAGGCATCTATCTTGTGGTCAAGTCGACAATAGAACATGTTGTAATCTTCCCCGATGGACAAAAAGAAAAAAAGAAGTTTTCAGGCCCATGTTTTGCATTCAGTATTAACTCGTTCCCAATATCATAAGCTCATCGCGTTTAAGGTTAAAGAAAAGAACACGATGCATAAATTGATTTTCATCACGCTTGTAGTCCAGGGAAAATTTTTAATACAGCATACAACACCAGTAATTCGTAGTGACACGATAAAGTTCAAAGTAAGTGAACCCAGAAGTTGCAATATGCGAATTAATCGAAAAAAAATACTGTACATCTTTCATGCTTCAAAATAGATTAGAAGCCAGAAGCTGGCAAGGCACTTGTTGCAGAATAAGTGTGTCTTGTATGCAGAAGTAGAACTCATAGCGAAAACGGCTTTGTGTATACATCAAATGGTTCATTCGCAGAAAGTTGTGGTTCCTGTAGTGAAAGGAAGCTCAAATTCAAAGAAATCCAAAGTGAAAGGAACTGATGATTATAATAACATATGCAAACATTTGGTCGAATAAAAGACATGCAGAAGTCCTACATACGTAATAGTCAAGAGCATACCTGTGTCATTCCGATACCAGCGCTTCCCCCTGTCAAGAGCATTGTTAGAAGTGTTGTCACAACACTTCCTCCTATCTCATCATCAGTCTTTCGGATGGTAGATCGCATTGCACCAAGAATACTTCCATATGTATTCCCCTGCCCACGTTCGATTGCTTGAATGAAAGCATAAGTCATTGCACCTGTTGAAGTAACCTTAGATAGAGCCTGTCCAATGTTCAAATAGTATCAGTTTGTGCTTTCATCAACTCATCAATTTCTAATTGGAAAAAATGCTTCGAGTTCAAATGTTACCGGGAACAGAGATAAATATAATCCAGTTAGAGCTTGACTTAACTACGAATAAAATTTTGAACATAAAAAATAAGGCTTACAGCAGTATCTGCAGAAGTTTGATCATCATCACAGCCACTGAAGGATATGACTTCTCCTCCATTAGTTCCTTTCCAAGCACCTGATCGGGGACGATGATCCTCCCATCTGTATCGGCCCGTTCTGCATCCATACACACATATTTTTCAAAACAGTAATTAGCATGAAAATGGTTATAGTAGATATTAATCTTAACACTAACCTGTCCATTCGACAAAGATGTGGTAAATCTAGCATGGTACCACTATGACAGGCATCTATGATCGCATGAAGCTTGACTCCAGGAGGAAGAGGCCTAACGATTGTTGCATTAATTTCATCATCCACTATCATTCCCTGTGTTTCGTAATCCAAAGGGCAAAGTGTTTCGTCATAGCCATCAATCTCGTCTCCAGTGTAGTTCCTCTGTTGCGAACCATGACCAGAATAATGAAACACAAGGGAATCCCCGGGCTGACAACCTTGTACAAGCCAAGACATTGCCATCCTAATGTTGTGTTTTGTTGGAATTCTGTATGGATCAGTTTCTTCTTCTGAAAAAATACTTCCACAATATGATTTTGATTAGAATAGCATAACATGAAAAGGTATTACAGAATAGTATTAAAAACAAAAGGTAGCTAAAATCTTATTACCGCTATAATAATCTAATACTGTATGCCAAACACGGAAAGTACATTCACGACCCTGCTGTGGATATTGTTGTTGTCTAAGTCAACAAAATATTATGCTGTTGAAGATCCTTTCAAACTCTTCAAGCCTAACAGGAAACTACACTAAGATTCCTTACTTTAGGGACCTACCTTTTAAGGACTTTATTGAATTATGATTCTTAAGAGTTCAATATCCAGTACAGAAGATTCAATTCTTGTGATTGAAGACATTGAAAAACTAGAGCTTCAGAAAGTGAAACATAGGCAAGGAATCAAATTCCTCTAAAAATGAGTTTCATGTGAGTTGCTTCCAGTTTCTTTCGAACCTTTTGTTTTCATTGTGGATTTGGCTGTCCATCCATCTTTACATCATGTTAATCCCGGGTTTGCACCAGTTGAAGACTAAATTTAGCCTCGATTTGGTAGCCATTGAAAAGATTTTTTTTTTTTGAAAAAATGAGTTGAAATAGTGGGTTTTTTGGAGAATGTAGGGTTAAAAAATAGAAAAAGTTCAGGATTTACGTGCAAAATATTTTATCACGTGTGATTGAAAATGAGTTTGAGAAAAAAGATATATGAAAAAATGAATGACAAACTCTGGCTTAATGCTTCCCCTATCCGCTTAAGTTTTAAACAAGTGGTTCAACAAGTAATGATTCTTAATAACCCTATCTTTATTCACAGAAACAGCTAATTTTGTCTGTTGGAAGCAGCCGATACTTTTAGTACGCCACAGTGGTCCATGCCAAGGCCCAGCGCAACCCTTGTTTCTCGATGACCCTAGTAGCTTAGCTCACACAATCCGATTTCTCAGATGGGTCAACTGACAAGACAACCCATAGTACCTAGGAGGGATTTTCAAGAACCGGGTCCCTGCAAGCCTGGATAGCACGTTGCCTTTTTTACACCTCTAGGTCGAAGTGTGCAATCTCCAGTACAATCATATCTTTATGAGGAGAAATAAGAACCAAATTTAACCAGATTGAGGTCGATTTTGATCGAACTCCGGTCAATGTCAATTTGACTAATTCGTAAGAAGGCAATAAAGGAAAAGACATTTAAAATATCTCACTCAAAAATAAAGTTTGCGAAAACAATTCTACATTCCAATGAATCCAATCTGATTATTGTAAGAAGCTTATTTTGGGGAAAATCCCAATATAAAAGCTCTTTATTCTAGATTTTCTGGCATTCAAGAGGACAATAATATAAAAAGTCTGGCGTGGAATAACTTGCAAAATTCATGTTCAATAAGTCAATCCCATAATGATTCATAGATTCATCAAAGATTTTTTATGTATGCGTGAAGCTGCAATATATCTAATCTAAAGCTTCCAAATTTAATTAAAAAATATTTTTTTGAGTTTGATTACCAGTAAGCATGAGGATGGAGGTTTCAGGAAACTTAAAGCGGTTGACCAGCATGAACTTCATGCACTTAGCATCATTAATACAACCCTTCAGCGCATTCCTCGAGTTCTTGTACGCGATCCCAATGATGACGGCCTTTTTCCGGCCATAAGCCGACGGAGGTTGACTTGGTGGAGCGTGGTTATACTGCAACGGAGCAGGAATGGGTGGCGGCGGCGGAGCGTAGTAGTTATAGTTGTTGCTGCTGTAGGTGGTGGGAGGTGGAAAATACGGTGGTGGCGGAGTAGGTGGCGCGTTGCGGGGTTCCCCGATGAGAGTGATGGCGTGGCAGATTGCACAGCGTATGGATTTTGCTCCGTGTGGGAGCTGTAAGGGGGTGCGGCACTGGGAACAGTCCACAAGCATCGCCATTTTTTCAAGAACTAGAGAGAGAAAGAGTGAGAGTTAGAAAGAGGGGGAATGGAATGGAGGGACAAATAGAGAAGGATACATGAAGAGGAAGGTCTACGCGTTTAAAGGTCAAATCTACTATTGTACCTTGGAGTTGGTACGGGATACACACATTGTACATCTTTGACACATCTAGCCAAGGTGTAGCATATCACGTATCGAACGTGTATTAAAATTTCTTCATTCGTTAAGAAGAGATAAGGTGTTTATGTACTAAAATGCAATGAGGGAGAGTCGAGAAGTCAATAAATTAGGGATAACGGATTTCAACTCCTGTGACTAATGGAGAGAAAGTGTCATTAGCTTTAATGTACTAGGCAGAAGTTGATCTTTTGCATTATAGTGGTATGCATTCGTCCTCGGCGATAGAAATTGTCAAAATTTGAGAAGTAACAAATTTAGTTTAATAATTTAGACATACGAAGATTACGTGACAATTTACTATAACTTTGGACATTCTCATCGTTAGACAATGCTCGTGTAAAAATTATATAAATTTAAGGATCAAATGTGATATCTTATGAATGTGTGTGTGTTTTTATTATTCTTTTCCATATTGATTATAAATTTCATCTTCGACCCACAAATTTATTGTTCCATTTTTTTTTTTTAATACACATTTCACCTTAGTTGAACAAAAGAAACTAATATAATTGTCGAGACCCTTTTGTCTTCACTTTCTTATTTGTTTTTGTTGTCTTTTCTCTTCCTCCCAAACCTAACACGGCAAGAGAAAAAATTATCTTTATTTGACTTTCAAATTCTCCTCCCGATTAAGTTCGAATAATTTTTGTTTTCTAGATGAAATCGATAATCAACCATAACAAATTACTATCTATTGCATAGTACTATTCAACGGTTGCATCACGTAGACTTGATTAATTAAGACTCCGTAAAATAATTTTTTAAAAAAATCTTTATTTCAATATAAAATATGTTTTGAACGCCTAACTCTTAATCGCATTGAGAAATAATGGTTCAATTGAAATTTTCTATTTTCCTTTTGACACACTTTATTTGGAAGGATGAATTTTGGTTGGAGGCTGGAATCTTCCAGGAACTAGATTTATTAGGGGGAGAAAGACTTTGGGAGAAGCTCAATGTTGACTTTTTAGCAATAGGGCTGCCTAGTTGGATTATCTTTTGTATTAAATTCCTTGCTCTTGATTAAGATAATAACTTGATTAGATTAGTCTCTCATCATTCTTGCTTTTGCTAAATCTATTTATAAATCANTAGCGAAGCGTGGAGATCAAACTTTGTTGTAAGTATAAACTAGAAAAAAAGGTTTTTTTATTTAATATTATTTTAAAATTTTAAATCAATCTAAAATTTTTTTAATAATTAAAAAAAGAGTTAAAAACGTAAAAAGACACGCGTTAAGCATGGCTAGGCTCGGAAAAAAATAAAAATAAAATAAATAAATAAATAAAAAGCTCACAAAAGTGCGATGTGAGGCGTGTTAGAGTTAGACCCGCTTCACGTGTAGGTGACGATTTTTAGAACACTGACTTTGACTAACAAAATTTTTACTTATTTTATAACTAAACTTACTTTTTATTTATAAGTAAATGTTGTAAGCTCAGCCAAGCAAGCAATTTCAAGAACGTCAAATTTTCGAAGTTCAAAAATTTTGTAGCATTCATCAATAATGAAATTTTAGAAAAATACATTTTTTGAAAAAGTGGAACACCAACAAGGGTTACGCCCACGTATGGGCTCCCATTAAAATTAAATATTTGGGGAAAATGTATTTTGGAGTAGTGATTTTTTTAAAAATGTGTTGTTAAAAATAAGTAAAAGTTTCAAGTTTACGTGTAATAATATTTTATGAAAAAATGTGATTGAAAATGAGTTTTGAAAAATATTTTTTTTGAAAGATGGAGCCCAAATAGGGGTTGCACCCATTTGAGCCTCATTCTATAATTTTTTTTTTTTAAAACTCATTTTCAACCATATATTCTTTCAATAAATTAATTTTACATATAAATGTAAAAAAATTTCCTACTTTTTAACCATTTATTCTTCAAAAATCACTATCACAAAACTATTTTTACTCAAGAATTGGGGCTCAAACAATATTTTTCACATATCTTGTATTCCTAGTACAAGAATTTTTAACTAATTTTCTATTCCTAATAAGATTAACAAAAGCCAACCATATCAGTCCTAACAAATAAAATCATATTATAAATCCCCAAGTACATACATAGTTTCATAGGGGACTTAGAGACCGTCAGAAGGGGTCTGGGCTCCACCTGTAATTTTTTTTTTGAAAAAAATTGCAACGAGCCCCACCATGTGTCTTACCTGTAAAGTACTTGTGAGAAATTTCCCACTACTTTAAGCATGGCCCAATCAATTATTATATGAATAAGGGTTTTTCCATTTGTACAGGAAATTGATGACAAGAAATTTGACAACCTCTCACATGCGTGCGAGTTCCATGTGATTAAAAAATTCCAAAAAAAAAAATAAAAAGTGGGCCCTCTCATGATGAGTGTTCGATCAACCTGTATGTCAACTATTTTATGTACAAATAGCATTGTTCAATGAATAAAGCTCAACATACAGTCACAGAGAGTGTATTGAGAGGGTGTCCCTATGTGCTGACCTCGTCATCCATATTCTGTATGTGCAGCAGCTTTCTCAAGAAACTTGAATTCTGTCCCAAGCAATATACAAATTCAAAAGTTGTTCCTATATTTCAACGATTCCCATTTATGTGTTTTTAAAAGCATATATTTCCCCCTGAAATTGTTATTGAACATATTCCAATATTCCCAAATAATTAGCCATAAAGATTGCCACACAATCTTCACACAACGAACAATTATTGTGGGGAGGAGGTGTTGGTTTGGTCTGTAGTTGTCAAAATATAATCTTCTCTCGTAACATAATTTGGATAAATACATTATTGAAAGTCGATCGCATTGAGATTCGAGACATTTAAATTCAAGAGTCGAATACTTTTTGATTATCTAATCAAGATGATCACTTACGATGATTATTGGATAACAATAACATCAACTATGAGAACAAAATTAATTAATAAAAAATCTTTATGCATACGTAATAATATGGGAGCATGGTGGTCTCCTCTAACAATGGAATAAAAGGTCGTAAAATATATGTAGAATTGATCTAAGAAGTAGGATTGATATTTGACAATTTTTTTCTATGAAAATAGGCCTACGATTTGTCCATCTTCCTTCCGGTTTGTAAACCAAGCTAGAGTCCTCTTTCTCATATTAGAGCATCTCAAATGGTGCTCCAAATCAGATATAAATTGTGATTTAGATTTTCAAAGTTTCTGAAACCTTTCCAATTGAGAGATGCAAAGAGCATTTTTTGACAAAAAAATATAAATTTTTATCTTTTTTAGATCTATCTATGAGACCTACAAGAGACAAAAAAAATGTACCTATTCACTTGCACCCAATTTTTTTAGATTTTCCCATTGAAGTAGAATTTGGATTTAGGTCCACTGTAATATAAATGGGGATGAATCCCTGTTTGGTTTGGATTAAAATTCAATTAAAATCTCAAGTCAAAGTTAACAATTAATTTTAACCACATATTTTATGGTACCAACAACTTTTATTGAACTCTAATAATAAAGGATCCATTTTGTGGAAATCAATCGTAAAGGTTCTACCTGAGGTATATGAAAATTAGAAATGGAGGATTAAAGAAGGGTCGGCATCCTTTTAGTAATGTCGCTGGTTAGTGAGTGGCCCTTTAAGTAAGTATGTTTTGGAGGTAACTAACCCAAGACTTCAAGTTAAAGATTGTTGGATTGAAGATGGCTGGGATTTCACTTATCTTATAGAGCTAGTGGGTGATATGAAGGCAACAGAAATAGTTCAAACCATTGGGGCTAGAAAAGAAGGAAGTGATATGATCATATGGAAATCGAATGACAATGAAGAATTCTCAACTTCAAGTGCTTGGGATCTTGTAAGGGTGAGGAGTCCAGAGATTCCTTGGATGAAATGGATAGGGCATAAATCTCTACCAAAAAAAATGTCTGTTTGTATGTGTAGAATTCTCAACTTCAAGTGCTTGGGATATTATATGGGTGAGGAGTCCAGAGATTCCTTGGATGAAATGGATATGACATAAATTTCTATCCAAAAAAGTGTTTGTTTGCATGTGTAAAGCATAGTTTAACTGTTTAAGTGTGGACTCTAGGGTGAGATCAACAGGGATTGCTCTAGTTTCACGTTGTGATTGTTGTGATAAGGAACAAGTGGAAACACTGGATCATGTGCTCAACTCTGGTGATATTGCTAAAACAGTTTGGAAATGGGCCTCTTTGGCCTTGGGAGTGCACTACTTGGAGGCACAATCATGGTGGACAAGAGTTAATCGATGGTTTACATGTGCAAAATATGTTTCACAGCGTGAAATTTTAATTGGGCTATTACCAAGTTTAATAACATGGAAGCTATGGGGACGTCGATGCAAGGCACGTATTAGATTCCTTGGATGAAATGGATATGACATAAATTTCTATCCAAAAAAGTGTCTGTTTGCATGTGGAAAGCATAATTTAACTGTTTAAGTGTGGACTCTAGGGTGAGATCAACAGGGATTGCTCTAGTTTTACGTTGTGATTGTTGTGATAAGGAACAAGTGGAAACACTGGATCATGTGCTCAACTCTGGTGATATTGCTAAAGCAGTTTGGAAATGGGCCTCCATGGCCTTGGGAGTGCACTACTTGGAGGCACAATCATGGTGGACAAGAGTTAATCGATGGTTTACATGTGCAAAATATGTTTCACAGCGTGAAATCTTAATTGGGCTATTACCAAGTTTAATAACATGGAAGCTATGGGGACGTCGATGCAAGGCACGTATGGAAGGGAATCGAGAATATGCGGAGGAGGTATGGCTAACTATAAAGGCTTGATTGCATCTCCTTGCTGAAGAAATAGTTAAAGTTTCAAAGCTAAGCAAAACAGACTGAACTTCTCAAAGCTTTAGAGCTGCCTATGGGTTCTTAGGTGAGTAAACCAACTCTTTTAGTTTCTTGAAGGAAACCTGCTGCTGGTTGGGTAAAACTCAATGTAGATGGGAGTTGTGTTGGTAATCCGGGACCTTGTGGAGGTGGGGGAGTGATTAGGGATCATTATGGTAATTTGGTTGCTGGTTTCCGTGTTAAATATGGCTATGGAAGCAACAATGAAGCGGAATTGCATGCTGTTATTACTGGGGTAGAGCTATGTAAAGAGTTGGATTTTCAACGGGTAGAGATTGAGCGTGATTTAGCAGTAGTGGTAAATTGGTTAACACACAGTTTATGTAAGATTTGATATTTGTGAGATTATTGGGATGAGTTATTAAAATTGCTTAGCGGCATCAGTTTCACTATCTCTCATCAGCATAGAAAAGCAAATAGAGCAGCAGATCTTCTAGCCAGACAAGGAATGGATGGTGTCACGATGAAGTACATGCACTTAGACCAAATACCAAATTTGTTAAAATGTATTATTCGTATGGATAAGCTTGGTTTTTCCAATATTAGGCAATAGTAGTGAGGTTGATATGTTTGTTTTTACTTGTTTGATTAGGGCCTTTATGGCTTTTGGCTCTTTTGTTGTTTTGTTGGATTTGTTGCCAAGATATTCCTCCGCCATAAGTGAGAGGTGATTGAATCAAGTTTTCCTTAAAAAAAAAAAGAGCTACACATTTTATCATTTTTTATTAAAATTTACTAAAAATATAATTTTAATTTGCATCAAACAGCCACTGAATTTTACACCACCATTTAAGTTGCTTTTTACCATGATTAAAACCATTCGTGTTCTTTTCAAGGAAACAAAACTATGTAATAATTGTATAGTATGTGAAATATTTTAGTCCTTCCTTGCCCCCATGACGTTAAAAGTTCAACTATGAAAAGTAGAGAGAGCTTTGAAAGGAATTACGAGGCGAGGATCCAAAGAAAAGGTCCCTCATTTACTTGAGAACAATTTAGAGTAAATTTGTAGTCTTAAAACTTGAACTTGAAAAATAAACTTCGAAAAACTTTAAATCATAAACTATTTCAAAAATGAGACGAATAATTGTTCAACATAATTTTGCATGGAATTTTGATTCATGATAAAATTTATTGTTGATTTTAATTTAAAATTTTAACAACTTGTAATTCATACAAAAACGAGGGGTTGATAGTATGATCTAAATTTTTTTTTATTATTTAAAAATTATATAATTATTTTTATCGGGTCGATCCTGATTCGACCATATAGTTTTTGACCCTTTCAGTTTTTTCGAATTGATGCCGGGTTCGATCTCTAAAACATTGGGGTATAGGTGCCACAAATAAAAATGCTGGGGATAGAGACTGACAAAAGGTTGGGACCGTTGAGGAATTTACCCTAACATTATTCCCCCTCCAATTTACCCCCCCTCCCTGCAGAATCGAAAATTAATCCTCGGAGCGTGCAGCCGGGACGGCGGAAGACGGCGTATTTCTTTATAGGTACAGTATTTTACTTGCCCTTTTTTTCATAACAATTACGTTATTACTCTTTTGATGTGCCTTCGGTATAAAATCTTGAACACATTTTTAGTGGCAAATTGGGACGAGATTATTATTATTATTCGTTTTGCTAATTTTACATTATCTAGAAAAATAAAAAAAAAAGAAGATGATAATTGCAGTCGAAGAATTCTGGAATGAGAGTTTCGTATTTATTTATATATATTTTTTATAAATAACGCTTTCATAATCCCCTGGCAGAAAAAGATCTATTTATTTTATTTATTTATTTTTTATTATTTTTTGAATATTGTAGCAATGGAGGAAGAAATGTCCAATTCAATCCGTCGCATGTCTACTCGAAGTCGAAAGGTTGCCCCGAAAATGGCTGCTGCCCTAGCCAGCAGTGATAATCGCACTCAGGTCTATCTTATAATTATTCCTTTCATTAATTTTCTCAGTTTAGACCAATTTTGATTTTTCTTCCATCCAATAATTTTGGAGCTTGGCTGTATGTGAATATTCCACGATCATGCCAAAATGTAGGCAATGCTGGCTCGCCTTGAAGCTTTGGAAAATGATAATGCTGGAATGGAGATGGTACAAAATGATGAAGACGATGAAGCATCCCTTGATGAAGATGATCAAGGTCAGTTGTGTTTCTTCCTCCATATTTGTTTTTTTTCTTTCGGTGCTTGGGCATTTTGGGGCTTGCATTATTGTTTATATAGAAATGAACTTGAGTCCAGCATGCTCTGCACATTCTGTTAATTCTGTTTTAAACATCTTGTTACGGGTAAATATAACATGTATAATACTTACACCTTCTCTCCAGTGGCCCCATTAGATCTTTGTTTTTTTTTTTTTTTTGGATAATCGTGGGTGTTCGGGCCAGCTTGTGAGCACTTCGACTAATCCCACGAGACTCTGAAGTTTACGGTTGGGTACTCGCCTCAGTGGCCCCAAGGGGATTCGAACTGGTGACCATTGGGGAGCAAACTCAAGACGTGACCAATTGAGCAATCCCTCAAGGTTGCCCCATCAGATCTTTGTTAACAGTAGAATTCCAATTTCTTTTTTCAGAACCACTGAAAAGAAATGATTAATTACTTATGCATTTACTAGAAGGAACAGCAGTGACCTGGGTCAGTTAGATCTGCTGTAACATGAATAATTTATCCTGTTACCTCGATAACGGGTGATAAAGCTTGAAAATTTCGGGTTTCTGTTCTCTGCCCCTGATCACCAATTCCCTCTTGTTATCGAACTACTTAAACTTAGTTGTCCATAATCCTTTGTGCATTAGATTTATTGCAAAAATATCTACGAGAATATCGTTATTGCTTAGTTATGATCTCTATCTCCATCTACTCTCTGTTTGCCTCTCTTTATCTTGTGTTTTGCTATTTGCTGGTACATCTAGATTACCATCTTGTGTTAATGCATGACATAGCAGTTAAGTAGTGATTTGAGGCACACCTATACCAATTTTGTAAATTTTCTTAAGATGCTAGTTATCCAAGAAGCAATATTTTTTGTTTACCAATCAACTTTTTTAATTTTTGGCTCTGTTATTGTCATGTTTCCATGTTTTTTAAACCACCTGTTCGGCCTGCTAATTGCCTCCTGCGATCATGTGATTAGCTGGTAGCTTTATATTCTCAATAATTGGGCCATTCTGCATCATCATCTTTTCAAATTAGTGATCTTTTTTTGTAACTTATGCTGCAGTGTATCAAAAGAAGCAATCCAAAAGCACGAAACGTAAAACTCGTCAAGCTAAAGCTCTTGAAGATGCTAAGAAGGCCCCGAGAACATTCCTTGAGCTCTTAAACGAGGTAAAGATTGTGAAAGCCAGAGTCTGCGCTCTGTTTTTTTCTCGCTAATGTTAGTTGGCTTGAGTATCAGTTCTGATTGAATGACGTTGGAATTAGGCAAACCTGGAGTCATTGCCTCCTCATGTGCCCTCCTACTTCAGAGCAGCTGTGGGACCTCCAAGCTCTGTCGCTCGACGCCATTTTTGCACAGTTTGTGGGTTTTCTGCAAACTACACATGCATACAATGTGGAATGCGTTTCTGTTCAATCAAGTGCCGGGCTATCCACAATGATACTCGTTGCCTGAAGTTCGTCGCTTGATGCTCAAAGTGTCTTAAAGTTTTGCCGAACTCAGGTAGTGTTAATGGTTTCTTCTTGAGCTGTCACAATTCATGTTCACTGAACTCTAGTGATTTCTGAATAGAGAACAAATTTGATGTTATCATTGGGATTATCTTCTTTATTCTTACACATTTCTTTGCAGGACGTGTCTCAGCAAATAAATCTTCGCTCAATGACGATGCCAATGCCATCCAGTCTTGGTGAATTAATAAACTGCGTGACCACGGACTGGGTTACTTGATTTGCTCATTTGACTTTTCCACGTTCTTCTGTTAGTTGAAGGCTGAATTCAAGTACTCTGCCTGATAAGCATGCAATCAGACATGGAGTAAAGTTTATAATTAATCTCACTTATCTTGTGGTCAGTATTGCATAGAGTTGCATGTCCTGTGCTGTGCATCCGCAGCAGAAAACAAAATCGAATTAGAAATCTCACGGATTGGGCATCTTGGCTTAATTAGTCATGGAAAGTTCATGTTGCTTTTGTGACGGCTGGGAGGCATCTAGTCGAATAGGCTAGTTCAAGCTCATAAGAGACTTGCATTGTTCTTGGTTTTATTACGTCATGAACAAAGGTCCATGTTCCAATCATTATACTATCACTTGTCATCAGACAATCAAAAAGGGAAACGAAGTTGATTTAAGACATGCTTGCTATAAAGTGCTCAAAAAACTTTGACAAGTGGTAATGTCCTATTACTTTTTTTGCAACTTCACCTTCTAATTCTGTGGCCATTTGTAGATTACTACAGGAAGTATTGTTTTTGCTATTGAAAAAACACCTGCAGTAACAATGAAAACTATGCGTATAGTCCAACTTATCAGTAACACGGTAGCACCGTGTGCAGAATCATGTGGCGCCATGCGAGGTTGCATGGCAGCCGATAACTCCTTTGTATCCAGTGTCCGACTGACTCACTGAGCGGACATATGTGTCTCCCTCAGGCTGCCTTCCTCCCTGGATATCTCCTCCAGTGACAAGTCCTATGGTTTCCTTACTAGTGAAGTGCAGAAGAATCCCACCAGGTTTGTGAAGACAAAAGTATCATGGCTTTCTTAATTTTGTTTACATTTCTATCTTGCGTATAGTTTTGCACTCCAAAAGCACCAGTCAGGCCCCTGCCTTTACCCTGATGCTGCACTCTGCATGTGGCAAGTAAACTCTCATTGGGAATAGCTCGGCCGGAAGAACAAATGTGGTACTGTTGTGGCCAAAATTGGCAAAGAAAAATGTCAGCCCATAAACTGCAGTAAACATCCATTTGTGATTTTTTGTTTTCAGGTAATCCTAATTTATTCTGATGATAAGCATGAATCTCGACATAACAAGAATCATGCTACAATAACATAATGGTTGACATAATGTTATGTGACATCTTATTATTAGACTATTTAAAACACAATCAACGTTTACATTTAATCATGTCTTTCAAACACTTATTATGACAAAGCACCTGTCAACATTTTTCTGTCAAAGTGGCATAATCCTTGCAAGAAGAATTATGCTACTATAACATGATGGTTGACATAATGTCACGTGGCGTCTTATTATTGAACCGTTTAAAACACAGTCAATTTTTTCATCCTATCATATCTTGTCAATATTTATTATGTCAAAACACCTGTCAACATTTTTCTATCAAAGTAGTATGACCCTCATAACGTCACCATTTAGATTCGGAATCTGCCCACTTTGTCTGTGTACTATACTGTGAACCAGTAACCAGGAAGGTCCCCAAAAAGGAAATTAAGAACATAGCGCTCGAAGTCTCGAACATTTAGTGCAGAGCGCTCACTTGACTGGTTGGCTTGTGAGTCCCATTGTAGGAAACATTTCCTTTTGAGTCGGGTTTTGGCTAGAGAAAGCTGTCTAACAAGCACCATGTAGTCATCGTACCAACAAGGCGTCGGCCATGGCGTCTTAACAACTCCTTTGACGACAAAGGGTATTCTATAGCAGCCTTGAATTGTTTTAAATTTTCTTCATCGGCTTGAATTCCCATGTCAAGAACTCTGCCCATATCAGTAGCTGCTTGTTTAGCGTTACCCTTTCTTTATAAGGGCTGATATCGCCCAGTTTCCGGCATCTTCGCACTCCAGTAGTTTGTAAGAACTTGGTGAAGAGCTCCAAGCATCAAAACTATTCTCCAAACATTATCTGCCTCAGGCACAGCAGGCAAAATTTTGTCATCCGGAAATCGAATCCCCAAGTAATTATCGAGAAAATTTCTGGAGAAAATTAATCAACACAATGCAGGATAAGACAATACTAATGCCTTACTTGATTTAATCGCAAGTGTACAGTATTATGAATAAAAAATGAAGTGGATTTAAGAGTTTGAATTATTGTTTTAAAAGGATTATTTATCATAACTTCAATTTCGCGTAAAAACAATTAAAAAATATTGATTTTAATTATAATTCTTAATATTAAATGCGCAATTAAGAATTAGGATTTTTAACATATATATGATAAATGTTAGAATCGTGATCTCATCATAGTTATTTCTTTCTTTTCCCTCTTAAGTTCGTTCTTAAAATTATATTTGTCGAATTCACTAATTCAATTAATTTATCTTTTTCGAGTTCAAATCAATTCTATTTAGTCGAGTCAATTCACTATATGTCTACATATGTGTGAATAAGTTTCAATTAAATGCATTACATCACCTTTGAATTTGTTTCATGACCACAATATTCATATATTTAGTTTTTATTTAATTGTTGAATTTTACGTTGTCCATAACTTACCTCTCGATTCATCACAAATTTAAAATTCATTGAAACAGTGGTCAATTAATTCAGAGACAACAAAAAAAATAAAAAAATTGAGTACACCACCAAATTTTCAAGGAAGAATGAAGAAAATTGGACAACCGTAGGCACTCTTCAACAATGCACGCTTTACTTTTTAACACGGTTAAAGCGACACGCTTTTGAGTTCTTACTATAATCACGGGATAACAATGCAAGCGATACTGACGACGACGTTTAAACCCTATCTTCATCTTCTCCAATTTTCTACGAAATCTCCCTGTAAATTAATCTTTTAACTAGTTCTTTGGCCTTCAAATTCATTGCAACATAACAGGTGAAAAACAAATAAAATTCATAAAAATAAAAATTTAAAGTGGAAAATAATAATGCAAACCATATCTACCTTCAAATTCATCACAGTTTCTCCAACACTATCATCCTCCATTCCAAGAATTTCCATTACACGCCCTTTATTATTCCAGAAACTCTCATCAGGTACCCAATTTTCATCTTCCATTTCCATATCAAGAAAGACCCTTTACCACTCAAAATCGTCAGAAGAAGCAGAGGTATCCGAAGCGGAGGATGAGTGGCTTCAAGGGTTGCCGGAGAAAAAGAAGCCATTGTACTCTCACAGCTTGCCATGCATAGAAGCCTGGTTGAGAAGTCTTGGGTTTTACCAGAGTAGAGAAGATAGAGCTGCTTGGTTTGTAGAGAAATCTGATTGGCATGGCCAACTCTCGCTTGATATCACTGATCTTTACATAAGGTTTGGTTGTATTAAGATTGGAGTTTTAGCTTTTTATAATTAAAATTAGCATTTTTCATATTATGCTTATGGATATTTTGGTAAGTTTTGTTTTTTGTTTGAGATCATGTATTATTTGGTATGTTTAGCGTGTACTACTCTTGTTGCTGTCAAATTTGGCTTCCTTGTTTATCCTCCTTTCTCCTGTAGCAATACATGTAACAAAGGGTATGATGTATTGCCTAAGTCAGTAGTTGACCATATGATTCTAGATATAGTTGAAACTGGGAAATTTGCGAATGTAATATTTCTCATTTATACTATGGCGTACCTTAAGAGTTTGTTGAATAATCTGTTCATAGTTATCGGAGGTCTAGTGTTGATAGATTCTTGTTTGGACGGAAGTGAAGATCTCTGTTTGGACTATAATAGCAGAGTTCTAATTCCATTACTTCTTAATCGGTAGAGTACATTTGGATGAGATAAGGAGTTGGAGAATTTTTAATGCACAAAAGTGCAATGTTGTTGGACTGTTTATTTATTTTCCTCTTTCTATTATTATTAGTATTTGGATTCTGGAATCAAGTTTAGGATTAAAATTATATGTTGGAGCAGTATGCTCAGATCATTGGGCATTTGTTTTAACTGGGGAAGAAAACAAAGTGCATTGTTGTTTGACTGGTTAATTATTTTCCTCTTTCTATTATTATTAGTATTTGAATTCTGGAATCAAGTTTAGGATTAAAATTATATGTTGGAACAGTATGCTCAGATCATTGGGCATTTGTTTTAACTGGGGAAGAAAACAGTGCAGCTTCATGGCAAGAAAATATTTGGTTTTATTTTGTGGAAGGAAAAATTAAGGTAATTGGGTGAGAAATTGGTTGCAGGGTAATGGATGATATTGCAATTTGTGAGTTAATGAATGTTGGGGTTTTGGCTCATTGATAGGTGAATATGTTTCACCATGTGACTCATAATTATATTGTGTTCACTTATCCCATCGATTGTGGGTTGACCTGTATTCCATGATATCTATAGCAACTTGAGGGTGCTGTTTTTTAGAGATACATAGATTGAGAGTTTTGAGATCTCTCCATTGTGAACTTCTTGCTGATTTTGATGACAATTCGCGATGGCAAGCGGAAGTATCTACCATATCCACTATAAACTCTATGTTTGCTTGGTACTTTTTAGATTCCTGCTTGCTTATTATTGCTCTCATAATAAGGAATAAGGACTTGATTGTTTGGGAGAGCTAAAAAGGATTGGTGGATCCCCACGAAATGAGTGGTGAAAAAGTGGGTAGTAATTGTAGGTCCTATGTAATGGATGGTTAAAATTAATTGTTGAATGCGATATCAACTTTTTAGCAGCTTTTTAAGCTTTGCCAAACAAGTTCTTAACATTTTAACTATCTTAGCCTAGGATAGTCCTTTGCAATGGTGTTGCAAATTGCTTCAGGAAAAAGCCAAAGAGACATCATCTGTTAACAACTAGCCACAAAGTATTTTACGGCAAGAAGGAAGAAATGTGAAGTTCTAGGGCATCGTGTTGCCAACTATGCTGGTAATTATTTACGCTTGTTCAATTGCTAAGATGACCTCTGTTATGCGTTGACAACGAACCATATTAGTGCAAGTATCCAACCATTGTATAGAGTTGATTAATGTGGGCTGGGTAATGCACATGGCTAATGCAACTTATTCTGAATACCTTTAGTGAAATCCGTCATTTAAAAGATTCAGTTGAGATACACATTGACCAGAGGCTTTGAATTGTTCCATAATTTTAGTCTCCCAGAACTACTTGAACGTAACATTAAGACTAAGACGGAGTCTTAAAAGTTCATCTGTAAGTCTATAGATTTTTCTCCAAGATTATCTTGATTATCTCTGCTCAATTGAAATCTAAAAAAAAAATATACACAGCTTTTCTGTGTTCATTCATGTCATGTTTATTTGAAGCCTCAAGTTCTATCCAACTTAAGCGACTGATGGAAAGCTACACAATTCTTTCTGTCCTCCTAGCGTGTTCTTTAATTTTCCTCCTCCATATATCAATTACTTTTAATGTATATTTTACAGATGCTCTTCCTCTTTTATAGGAACAAAAGATCATCTTTTTTGTTGATGAGAATCCAGAAATTTGTTTGTTTATAGTGCAAACATTTGTTTGTCCGGAGTTCCTTTGTTGGATATTGTATCTTTCTATTCTGTTAAAGTTTGTGTTTTAGACCATCTTCGCGTCATAATAAGGCTATGAAATTCCAGTGATAAGCCATGTTCAGCATTACGGTTTTTGAGTAATACTTTTGAGTGCGTGTTTGGTACGCAGTACTAGAGTGGAGTGGATTTTTGCTTCTTTATCTTCCTTAATAGCGTCGAGTGTTATCTAATATTATCTACCAAACATACCACGATCTCATTTTGATCGGTCTTTACAAGTAGCATTCAGCTTTTGAGAGAGATTGGTTGTGTTGACTAACAATTAAATCAGAAGTAATTCATTTATTTTTCAACTTGCCTGTCCGCGAAAATCTATTTTTCGAGTCCCTATCTTATTTACCAGTTATGTTGTTTGTCATGTATTCTACGGCAAATAAGATCTGAATTTAGACTAATGACAATATCCTGCAGTAAATCAACAAAGCCGAAAGTAGTATAATACTGTTTTGATGTTGAAGGTCAACTCAATGAGTATATACGTTTGGAAAGAGCAAACTAAGACGGTCATTTGTAACAAGAAGTCTAGACCACTCTCTTTCTAAGACGGTTTCAGACTGTCTTAGAAAGACCAGTAGATGAAGATAAGGATGTTTCGTTAAGAAAACATCTAAATGGTAGAAGATAATGCGTTTTCTCTTTCTATATTGACTAGGTTTTGCTGCTTTTAATATGCCAACCTGTCGGAATTGTCTCAAGTAAACTAGAATCCTCCGAGTCAATTTCAGAATGTCTACCTTCAAGAAATTATTTTATTATTTCCTGCTTTATATAAATTTTTAGTCTGGCTAATTATCTATGCTGTCTTCATTATGTTTGTTACTCTTCAATCGAACGAGCTTCACTTGTTTCTTTTCACATTTTAGTAATTCAAGTTCCTAACAGCTCTTTGGGATTGAATGCAGGTATCTAAAGAGTGGACCGGGAGAGCTTGAGAAAGACGTTGAAAGGAGATTTAGTTATGCACTGAGTAGAGAAGATATTGAGAATGCCGTACTTGGAGGGCCGTGAAGATGAAGAGTTATTAATCGCTATTGCTTAAGCCTCCCTGCAGAAAGACTCTACGGTTAACTTTATATTTATTTGTCTACTTTTCATTCATATCGACTGAATATGTATCTTCGAAATAATTGTTATTGACATATCAATGGCATAATGAACATACAGGATAGATTCTTAATAAAAAATTTCATCTTTTTCCACGTGTAGATACTAGCATCAATCTTTTGGAGCATGTATTTGCAACAGTTTCAGTACCTAGTTTCCCCTTCAGTTGTAAGACAATCAAAATCTTTATTACCTAAGAGAGTAACAAATTCATCAACAAGCTCATCTTTGAACTTGAGAAGAGCTTCTCAGTAGAGCTTTTGAAAAGTTAAAAATTGCTTTTGAGACTAAGAAATTATTGTTGAACATGTTTGGATAATTTTTTGAAAGTATTTTGATTGGCTAGAATAGTTTTTAGAGTTAGTTTGACTAAGATAACTTTATGAAGCTCTTATATATCTCTTTGTATATATACATCAATGTGTAGATATGAGATTACAAGTTTCAAAGCCAATTGCTAACTTGGTGTCACAGCTCTAGGTCTTGAAAATTAGGATAAAATTGAAAAATCCCCAAAATTCGATTTCACCAAGTCTCAAAAGGAAGTATGATATTTTCTATATTAATCCCTAAGCTTCTATTTTGGTTCATACAAGTAATTTATGTACATTCTAACTAAAAGTCAAACAATAGAGAATTCTTGCCAGTCCTCTTAAGGACCACCAGGTCTGCCCCACATGAGGCTGTTCGTGAGTCGGTTCGATTCGGTTATGAAGAGAATCGAACCGACCCAAAACTTTCAGGTATTTAAGAAATAGACCCGTCGGATCCAAATATAATTATGGAATCGTTTGGGTTCGGATCCATATCATAATTAAATTTTTTAATATTTACAGCAACACTACATAAATATAATTAATGACATTTCATAAGTAACTTTAAACATATAAATAACTAGCTATCCAATAAAATTAATTCAATGTATACAAATATCAAAAGTAGATGTTAATATTAAAATATCGATGATCCATATAAAAAACTGCAAATGGATCCCAAACTCCACTGTTTCTTGAATTTAAAATGATTTGGACTTTAAAATGATTTGGCTATTGAGCTTTAAAATTAAAATTATAAAATGATCTAATTTATTTAGAAAAAAATAATTTAATTTAATTAATTCAATATGAAAAATAAAAAAATTTATTTAGTTTCGAATCTTATTCGATTTTTCGGTTCTTGGTCTAGAACCGAAACCCGACCCAAACCATCATTTCTCGATTCGAGTGCCCGTTCGGATATTTAACTTATGAAGAATTGCTCGGTTTGGTTCGGGACTTTTGGACACTCCTACCCTATATTGACTCTTGGAGTTAAGTGAAGAAACTGAGAAGCCAAGAAAACACCTATAAAGCTCTTCTTTCCTCATATAGTGAGAATTCCATCTATTCCCCTTTTAGGACACCGTTAAAAATGCCCAAGCAAATCCGGGCATTAGTCCTTACCTGGCGGCCCAGACGAACACCAAGGTCCCTACTGCTCAAACAGTTCTGTGACACCCATGCTTCATGAAATGATAACAAAAAACCAGTATGTCTAAATTTAAGTTGTAAACTGCTGTAGTTAAATAGCACAATAACATGCTGAAATAAAATTACGAAGTTTAAGAATCTAATTTATGGCATTTTGGCATGCATGTAATGGTACAAGTTATCGCCAAAATAATCCCTAAAACAACAAATATGGAGGTACAAGTGGACGGAAATTATGAGCAAAAGAGTTGCTTGTTTCATAATCGACCCTCCAGTATCTATAGAACACCAAGAGACGATGATACATCAATATGGCCTGTAGTGCATAGGACGCCTAAACCTTGGAACCCTCCTACACATGAGAAGGTTGAAATCAGAAAGTCTTATCAAACCACAAATTAAGAAATGTTAAACCAATGGTACAATTTTATTCCAAGTAAAGAACCAAGATACTTCCGAAGTAGGTGTAGAAATATTTTTGTCCCCAAAAAGAATTAGAGTAAACAGATATCTTGGCTAATCTAAGTAACAGAAATATTCTTATTTAAACATGCAAAATGACATAATTATTTAGTATCAAAAGCTTCAAGTCCCAAGCCTTAACGTGTAAAAGAATGCCTTTTCTCATCATTCCATTGTTCTGGGTGAAAGCCAAAAAACTAAACCCTAGTACTTACCCATAACCATAGGGAGGGTACGCAGGTGGACCAGGCATGAACGGCCTTCTTGATCCAAAATAAGGGTTGGGACGTCTTCCTCGATATTGTTTCATCCCAGGAACATTAGTCCTCTTAGCAGATACCTGCCCAAATTCCCAAATACATCAACATTGTTGTTGCAAAGATTCATATGCCTATCACGTTTTTAAGTTTTTGGATCAATACAAGTTCACAAACCTTCAGCTGACGGCCATGCAACTCGGAATCATTCAGAAGTAAAGCATTTTGCACAGCCTCAGTTTCAACAAACTCTACGTAAGCAAAACCTTTCGGCTGGCCAAACTTATCGGTCAAAATAGTCACCCTATTTACCGTACCACATGACTGAAAATGCTGTTGCACCTCCTCAGGTGTGCAGCCATAGTCCACCTGAGTTTTGAAAAAGCAATTGGTAATGAGATCAATCAATCAGAACACATCATACATATGTATACTTCACATGAATGCTAGCTTACAAGAGGAATTTAGTTAAATTAAGGAAAAATGTCTAATTAAGAGGCAGAGTGAGCATTTAACCTTGCAAATTGATTTTGCATACGAGATTACATATAGAGATGTCGGCAATCTTCAAGTTCCCTCAAGCTTCACTTAATTTCAAAAACATATTGGTTCTGGCTTACAAAAGTTGGCTCGTGGCTGATATGTAGAAAGGTCTGGTATTGGCTATATTTTGGTGGTTTGGACAGCAAGGAACTCCAAAATTTTTGAGGAAAGAAAACTCCTGCTTGGATATTTATGAGAAGGAAAAGTTTTTTGACTTTTTCTCGGGCTTCTACACTAGGGACTTTTAAGGATCTCCCTTTATCTTTTGACTCAATTTCAGAGAGAGAAAAAAAAAAGGAAAAGAATAGGAATTTTGCAATACATTCCAAGTATCTTTTAACATTTCTCATTCTGGAAAAGAAATGACTACCCCGAGTGTGTTCTTGGTTTGAAGAATACGTTGTACTGTTGATATTGTTTTCAACTTGTTACCTCTTCCATTTTAGGGCAAATTTCAGAAACCTCCCTCGAGGTATACGACAAATACAAAGATAATCCCTCTAGTTTTTAATGTTAGAGACGCCCCTTGAGATTTATTTTGAGGAACATTTTATTCCCCCTTACACAATTTCTAAGGAATTTTTTGAGGGAAAGAACTGTCAAGTACCAAAAATACCCCTTACAACATTAATTCAATTTTAAAGCTTTTTTTTCCTTTTAAATTCTTTTTTTTTTCTTAAAACTTTTTGAACGCTGAGAGAATAGTATCTTGTATTAACAATTTTATAGCTCCAATCACATTGATTTAATGTTAATTAATTGTCTTCTCATTTACAATACATTTTAAAACTTTTGTCAATACATTTCATAAAATTTAGTAAATGGAGACCCGAACAAGAACACTACTGTAAATGAAGATACAAGTGAATAAAAATATGAAGTTTATTTTTCAATTTAAAAATTCTAAAAATCGTTTGGCTTCTAGTCGTAGATAAACCTCAGGGAGTATCTCCTTAATTTTTAAAACTGAAGAGGTGTCGCTGTATCGGTCATATACCTTAGGGAAGGTTTCTGAAATTTATCCTATATTTTAAGAGATATTTTTCATGTCATTTTAAAAATATGATTATGTTTCTTTTAAAAATATATATTTAAAGTTGACTGCTAGCAATTAGTAGTTCAACACTAGAATATAAATGTTTCCGCAGTAGGGATTTAGAAAGTTCTGGTGCATCTCTAAATGAAGATAAGCTGAGAAAAGGTCAATTCATGGATAAAGGATGCCAAAGTAAACAACTTGATAAAAGGTACCCATTTCCAAATCAATAGAATTAGAGAACTATTTATTGTGCTTGATCTTAAAACTTTGAGACTGTCTAGCTAACAAAGAGGTGACAACAAGCATGGTTCTTCTTGAAACTAAAGCAATGTAAATAGCCCAGCACAATATTTGCATGCTATGACAGGGAATAAAATTAACAGAATTAAGATGGGGATTGTGAAACTCACATTACCAACATATACTGAACGGGAATCCACCTCCTCCTTCTCTGCCTGTGTCGCGGATGCCTCGGTTAAATCCTCTAACACGCCATAAACAAATTTTGCAATTAGTTGTGAGTCGCTAGTTCAATGGCAAAAATCAAACATGAATAAAAAGCCATGTTATCAAATTAAGAAAGTACGCTCTCTCGCGTGGATTCTATGAACATAACACATTTGTAAATTATGCACACAAAAGTTATGTAACTTGTCGTTTATTTTTCAGTAATTTAATTCGTTTCCGATTTCTTTTGAAGCACAGCTTATATTTCCCTCTTCTGCAAGAAGATCTGAATAACATTAAATAGTGGTATTTATATACCATTATAACAGCCAACTCAGCTTCTATTGCAGATAAGACATAAAGTAACTATTAATTCCATCAAATTTTATAGCTTTAATTTCATAAAGTCAGGATATACTGGACCCATATTAAAGAATTGATAAACTGAGCAAACATGATTTTAGAATAGTATGTTCTACATCTTGACAATAAAAATAGAAAAAATATAAATTAGAAAGAATAAAACTGAGATCAAGCCCCCATAAAACAGAATGTCTAATATAGTTCCTAGCCAAAATGTGATTACTCTAATCACCTAATAGCTGATTACGAGAAAATATGCAATAAGATAAAATTTTCATCCTAGGAACTTCGAAATAAAATTTCCCAGATTATAAAATTATAAAAAGGCTAAACTACGTCAAGAAAGATAGAAAAAAACAAATATGTAAACATGTGAAGAAAGAGACAATTAAAGACTTCCAGATTGTGAGGTTCATTGGATATCAATATTTTGCATCTGTTTAAATATACAATTAACCAACAGCTGATGAAATCAAGGTACTTAACTTTATTCCTGATATATCCGTTTCTTCCTTTAGTAGATCTTAGTTTTTCACTCAATGAATGGCATAACCACCTATATTTGTTGTCAATCAAATTGTATGATTAGCATAAAATACATACTCCACAATGATAAATATAGCTTTGATGTGTCACCTCCAATAAGGAGAGAATTTTCAAGATTCAGTAAGGTCCTCACAATTATTGGTCACTACTAGGGGAAGAAAGGAAACTCCATGCCACTTTTTTCTGGAAACTAGTTGATTGAACCTAATAGATGAGGGGTTTTGACATCGCCTACTAAGAATAAACTTTTCTTCCTTAAAGTTTCCCCGCCAAGGCCAAAAATAGCTTATCTCAAGCTCGTCTTATAATCATCACAGGGCATAAATGAGAGATCCCTTGTACGATGGACACTAATAAACTAAAAGAACAAGCTTCTGAGCAAATATTTTTACACATGTCTTCTTGAGGATAACTATTCATCACCATATAAGGGAAAGAAGGTAGACAACAAGTTAAGCAAAAAAAGAAAGATGCAAAACCAGAGAAAACTTATTGAACTGAAGATAAAGAACGAAAATTCATACAGAAAATCAACATACTTCTGGATGTTGAATGGATGCTGGAGGGCGCTATAAAAATGAACGCTACTGAGGCTTTATAAAGACTTGGACTCAACTACTTGTTCCATGGAAAATATTTGTCTTATAAATCAATAGATATTTGGGAAGTAAATGGTATGTGTAACTATACCATCATCTGGAATTAATTATCAAAGTGACCAATAGATAAATTACGAAAATGCTGGACAGTAGTCATAAACTGAAAATAGGATGAGTAACCGAAACAGAGCAAGTCAAAAGAAGTAGAAATGCATTCATCACTAGAAAAGGTAAGTGGTTGCATTAATAAATCTATATGGATAAACAATGTTAGCTTTTTGAAAATGTAAATGGTTGGATTAATAAATCTATATGGACAAAGTGTGTTAGAATTGTTACCAGCTTCATTATGTTTATTTGTCTACTTTTACAGAAGGTTTGACCAAAATATAGTCCAATTGGTGGGTTTATGGATATGACAGCTCAGATGAAGTGTAGTATTTTGCAAATATGAGAAGGGTAAAACATTGCTTCGGTCTGATGTGAAATATAACATTGAATTATTGTAGTTTATAAATCGTTCAAGAAATTAATGATGTCCATAATCACCAACTGTTCAATTTCAAAATGCAGTATAATAAACAATCCAACTAAGATTTCAATGTTACTGTAACTCCTCCAGATAAGAGAATTTCAAAATGCAGTATATTAAATAATCCAACTAAGATTTCAATGTTACTGCACATAAACCCAGTCCATCCCAAATGCACACGAAAAGCATACAATGGAAAGTAAAAAAATGTCCGCCTATATCCATCTCTAACCTCTATCGTCATCCCTAAAGTACATCTCCCATTAAAATCCTTTTACTATTATTTATCTCATCAAACGCCAATACTATGAAATTGAGACACCAACCCATCAAACGGCTCATGTTCCCATTTAGCATATTCATAAACACATACAAGTTCAACTACTGATGGGGATGGGGAAGGGGGGAGAGGGAAAGGAAGATGATGTGGGGAGGGAGGACAGATGATGAGGGAAAGAAAATCCACGGTGGTTTGCAGAATGAGCAAGGATGGAGCATCAGGGGCAACAAGATGTCAAAATCATCAAGTCTTTGATGACAAAATTGCCAAAGCATTTGAAAGTAAATCAGCAGGCTGCCCAAGGAGTAGGAAATGTGGATTCGAAAGCTATGGTTTCTTGTTCCATTTTTCTCTATATGCGCAATGTGCGTTTGCGCGCGCCTACACATCAGGTATGACTGCATCTGCTTTCATGCCAAGTAGATCTAATTGCAAGAATTCCGTCTTCTGTGAAATAGAATTGTATGATAAACCAACCAACTGAAAGCTCAGCTGATTTATTATGTTGTTCCAGATTGGCTCCAAGGGATGACTGATACACAAAAGTGAAGTCTTTAAAGCTTGTGCATTTTTAGTTTAATACAATTCTATAATCTAATCAATAACCAAATCCAATGACAAAGCATAATGAAGATGGGAAACAAAGACAAAATCAACTAAATTGAAACTTATCTACGATCCCGCACTTAAACAATCTACTCCCTGACACAACAACTGGCTGATGGCTCATATACTCCCAATGAGAATTCATTAAGTGCTCAATAGCCAATAGAATTCAAAATCTAAGTTTTCATTGTTATGGTAAAAAATTGTTATCAATGAGTTACTACTTAAATTTCCCTTCTATGGAGCATTACGAAATAAAAAATCTACCTCCCTGGAGCAGTTCCAATCAAATGCATTGATTCCAAATTTTTCTTATTCCCTCCACTACACAGATACTAGGCAATATGCCCATTTTGGGTGTACTAGACATTTTTCAGATACTATTAGGTGCTTATTTCATGTCTTTGGAAGGCTCCACATCTCATGTGCTTGTTTATCACTCAATAAGATGCACATTGCAAATTATTTAAATAAAACAAAAAATATGATAAAAAGGGAATGAAAGATGACAGGAATTATCAAATAATCCACATCAAATGTACAGCATACATAATGTTGTTGAGCTTATCCTTTTCATTAAAGGACACAGATTTCATTTACCATATAAATGGAACATAGTGAATCCATCACAATCAATTGCATTATTTTTCAGTTGCGTGCCAGACAAGAGTCATGTGAGAGTCAAAAACGTGTCTGTAGACATGCTTATCATACATTTTGAGTGCAATCAATGCAATGCGAGACATTTGTCAGATGCTCAAAGAATGTCGATGTCCACAAGTAAGTAGTAGTCTTAAGCAGAAGACAAGATAACACTGAAATTTATTTCAATCAAAGATCATGTACATCAACTCTACTCAATACATAATGAGGTAAAAAAAAAAA